AGAATAAAGTCGGGGTCTCATACTCCCAGATCTCAAAATGTACTATACAGCCAAAGTATTCACAACAACCTGGTATTTTACAATGGCAGACACATAGACCAGTGGAACAGAATTGAGAACCCAGAAATAATTCTGTCCATCTATGGTCAGCTGATATTTGACAAAGGGCCAAAATCCATTAAATGGAGAAGAGATGATCTCTTTCCCAAATGGTGCTGGCAAAACTGGATATCCATTTCCAGAAAAATGAAACAAGATCCATGCCTCACACCATACATAAAAACTAACTCCAGCTGGATCAAAGACTTAAATGTGACACCTAAAACCATAAAGTTCATCAAAGAAAAAACAGCGGCAAAATTAGGGGCCCTATTTATGGTATAAATAGACTATCAAGCATAACCCAAAATGCACAAACAGCAGAAGATAAACTGCATGATTGGAACTGCCTAAAACTTAAATTCTAAATGCATCAAAGATTTCTCCAAGATTATAAAAAAAAGAACTTACACATTGGGAAGAAATATCTGTCAATGACACATCTGACAAAGGACTTACTTCTAAAATTTATAGAAAACTCTAACACCTCAACACAGAAAGATAAAAAAAATCCAATTTAAAAATGGGCAGAAGACCTGAATGCACACTTCACCAAAGAAGATATTCAGGCAGCCAACATAGAGGTGAAGAAATGTTCATGATCATTTAGAGAGATGAAAATCAAAACAACCATGAGATACTATCTTACCTCAGAATTAATAGAAAAGTTCAACGTGACAGAAAATAATGAATATTGGAGAGGATGTGGAGAGTTTAAGACTCTCATATACTGCTGGTAGGAATGTAAAATGATACAACCACTGTTGAAATTGGTATGGTGAGTCCTTAAAAAGTTGGAAATAGGAATACTGTTTGATCCTGCAATCCTATTACTAGGTATATATCCTAAAGAAATGAGAGCCAGGACACGAATAGATATATATATGCATACCCATCTTCATTGCAGCACTATTCACAATAGCAAAGATATGGAAACCACCTAAGTACTCATCAGTGGAGGAATGGATAACCAAGTTATGGTATGTACCCTCAATAGAATAGTATGCAACACTGAAAAATAATGTAAAATCCACAAAACACCTCATAATGTGGATGAACTTGGAGGACATTTTGCTGAGTGAAATAAGTCAGTCACACAAGGACAAATATTGTATTAGTCCACTATTGTAATAAAGTCAAGGAAAGGTTTATATATAGAAGGAAACTTTCTTTGTTGGTAACCAGGGAGGTCAGAGGAAGGAAGGGAAAATTGCTAGATAGGTAAGTGACAAGTGTTGGTTTGCGTGAAGTGAAAGGCAGTATACCAAGAGCAGGTGATCAACACAGTAACACTAAGGAAAAGGAAGACTTTGAGAGCTGTACAAGAGGTATAGACAACAAAAAGCAAAACTTTTACATACAGAATACTGAATTATCAGTAATAACAAAAGTTAATCTATGGGTAGATACATAAATAGACACCTGGATTTAAAAAAAAAAAAATCTTGGACCCTGAAATTCCTTTTTCAATGATGAACTCTATCTGTTTCCAGAAACTCCCTTTCTGCATTCTATTATAATTGCTCGTTTTTTTTTTTTTTTGCTTGTTTTTTCCCTAAATGGCTGCTTCTAGTTCCTTATCCTTTTCATGTTCTAGTTTATCAGCTGTCTCCTTGTATCACTGGACACTAAGATTACATCATGATTTCTTTAAACCAAAACCAAACTCAGTACCCTCAAGTCAATTCTGACTCATAGTGACACCCTTAGGGTTTGTGAGGTGCTAAATCTTTATGGAAATAGATTGCACATTCTTCCTTCCTTGGAGTGGCTGGTGGATTTGAACCACCAACCTTCTGGTTGGCAGTCAAACACCTTAGGCACTATGCCACCAGAGAGCTCTGGAATTTTTCAACATTTGTCCATTGCACAGCAACCCGTATACCTGGGATTAACATAACTGCCTGTATTCACCTTCCCACTATGCAGCTGTGTACTTGAGTTACTGAGGCATCTGCTGAGTAATTCCTGGAAAATAATACAAACATATTGATTTAACCGTTGTAAATAATCTAACAATGTTGTAATCCATGGTACTCTACACAGTCGTGTGTTTCTTTTTCTTTTTTTTCACTAGTAATTATTTTAATGTCTTTTTTTAGGAATATGATTTATTTTTCTTATTAGACCATATCAGGAGCTCTGGTGGTGTAGTGGTTAAGGTATTTGGCTGCTGACCAAAAGATTATTGCTTCAAACACAAAAGCTGCTCCATGGAAGAAAGATGAGGCAGTCTTCCATAAAGATTTACAGCCTTGGAAACCCTAGTGGGGTTGCTGTGAGTCGGAATTGACTCAATAGCAGTGATGAGGTGTTTGTTTTTTTTTTTTTAAATTAGACCGTAAACTCATTGAAAGAAAACCCAGTGCCATCGAGTTTATTTTGACTCATGCCAACCCCATATGTATCAGAGTAGAACTGTGCTCTGTAGTGTTTTCAGTGGTTGTGATCCTTGTGATCTACAGGACTTTCTTCAAAGACACCTCTGGGCAGAATTGAAACACCAGCCTTTTGGCTAGTAGCCTAACACTTAATCATTTGTGTCACCTAAGAACTCTAAACTCACTCTGGGCACTCTATGGATTTCACTGAATGAATGAATGAATGATTCAGTACTTCTGTATGTCACTTAGTGCGGTGAATTTTAGAAAAGGGATTAAGGTGCTTGATTTTTGTGATCTTCCCTGCTTTTGATTTTGTGTAGGTATTTTATTTACTTACAGATGGAAAGTCATCATAGCAACTGTACTTCTTTGACATTTTACGTAGCTGAATTAATACATGTAAAGTGCTTAGTATTTAGTAAGTGCTAAGTATTTAATAAATATTAGCACTTATGATTGTGATTATAAAATTTTTTTATTTTAATAATTTTGGAACAAAATACTTCAGTAAGCTATATACTTCTGAAACTTGATACACTAAATATATTGAGCATAATTTTATCTGAATGAATGTTGCCATCACTGTGAATGTAAAAAATATTCTTTTCTAAAGTCAAATTTGAATTATTCTGTATTTCCTATTTTCCTTCACCATCACATCTGAATACTCAACAAATTGTGTTGATTTTATTATTTTAATAGTTTCTGCTGCTATCTTTGTTTCCATCCTTGTGTTTTGCCTAAATCCTTTCCCTAATCATTTATCATTGATTATTTTAAGAGCTTCTGGTCTCAGATATCCTCAAAATCATCCTTTACATTGTGGCTAGAATAATCTTTGCAATATGACTATTACCAATTAACTATCCTAAAACCGTTCCCATTACTTACAGGATAAAATCTATATTGATTTTGACATGCAGTCCCCACCACCTCCTGCTTGTATCGTCCCTGCACCCTGTACTCCACTTGTACTAACTAACCTTTTCTCTCAGCCCTATTCAAGGGTGTTAGTCTTACATATAAATCAGAAGTCAGTGAACTTTCTCAACTAAACAGCAAAAAGAGAAAAAAAAAAGACAAACCAAACTCACTGCTGTCAAGTTGATTGTGACTCATAGGGACCCTCCTTGGGTTTCCAAGGCTGTATCTCTACAGAAGTAGATTGCCTAGTCTTCCTTACAAGGAGTGACTGGTGGGTTTGAACCACCAGCCTTCTGGTTAGCAGTCACATATCTTTGGCACTATGTCACCAGAGCTCCCCAAACAGTAGAAAGGCCTAAGATCAGAACACCTATGCCAGGGAGATGCACCCACCTTCCCCAGGGAGATCCACCCCATAGCTCAGTCAACCATGAGAGATCTGAAGGGGAAGCCAGACAGATAAGAATGCATAGATAAGAAAGAGAGAAAGGGTAGTCACAGGGAGGAGATGGGAGGAGAGCTGTTTGTTGTTGGTATTGTAATTGGTGCTTGGAAACTAAATGTGTATGAACTGTTGAGAGTAAAACAAATCTGCTTTGTAAATTTGCACGCAAATCATAATTGCAATTAAAAAAAAAAAGCCACTGAGCATTGAATAAAGGCTTTCAGAGTTCTTCTACAATTAAAATGTATATAGTAATATCAATTTTGACTCATTAGAGACCTATTTCTTCATGGGTAGGTCTTGATACATTTCTTATTTCTGAAGGTATGGAATAAATTAACTGAGGACTGACTGATATGAAACGTCTCTGGGAATCTTCCTTGAATCACTAAGGATAGTTAATTCACTATGTCTCAGTAACACCTGTGCATACCTTTAGCAAAGTACTTAGACTGTGTGGTAATTGTCTCTGCAACATGGTGTCTTAGATGAACTGATCTTAACTGTCACCTATACCAATTTGCAGGATTAGTTGACACTGTATTAGGATATGCCCATGTGCTTCAATCATTCAGCTGTTTTTTTGACTGATGTAGATTGCTCAGGAAATACCCTTTGTTGGTCTTCTAAATTAGACTGTTCTACCTTTAATGCCTCCTCAGAAGGAAGCTTGAGCAATCTACTTCCATAGTGATACTGCTTTGGACACCCAGGGAGTGGTCACTATGAGTTGGGTCTGACTGGACAGCACATAACAACAACAACAACAACCTTTAATGCCTAGCACCATAGGTGATGCCTAGTACCAAGTTTTATATGTAGTAGAAATATGGATGACTAGATGACAGATGATGAACAAGATATTAAAATATTATGCTTAATTACAGTTTTTCCTTGGAATTGATGTTTTTGGAACATAGAATAGCTTTAAAGTTGGAGGCATAAATAAAACCTATTGAAAATAAGTATGTTATATTGTTGTTGTTGTTGTTATATGCCGTCGAGTTATAGGAACTAATTTAATTAAAAGCAGATTTTAGTTTATTGTTTCCTTTTTTTATTTTATTTGGTATATTTTTTCTCCTTCATCTTAAGAAGGAGTTGCATTTATAAAGACACTGAAAAATTATTGTTTTCTTTTTATGCAGGGGCCTGAGTTAATGAATAAATATGTTGGTGAATCTGAAAGAGCAGTTAGAGAGGTAAGCAGATTATGTGTTAAGTAAACTCTACATAAAAGAGTCACACCTCTGCCCTTCTGTATGGTTTCTAAAATGCTGTCCTTTTCTACTTTTTATTTGAATTATAGATGGACTTTGAAATTTCCAAATCCAAATTCTAATGATACATTTTCTGTAGGCACGATGTTATTTTATTACATTAAAATACAATTTTGATTATCAAGAATACTTTGTTTTTAAACATCATAGTATTGTTGTTGTTGTTATGTGCCATCGAGTCGGACCCAACTCATAGCGACCCCTCCTTGGGTTTCCGAGGCAGTATTACTATGGACGTAGATTGCTCCATCTTCCTCTCAAGGAGTGACTGGTGGATTTGAACCACCAGCCTTCTGGTTAGTGGTCAAGTGCCTTAGGTACTACGCTACCAGAGCTCCCCATCATAGTATTGCAAGCCTTTATTTTCACCATATAAAGATATTTTGAAAAATACTACCACCATTTCATTAAAGAAATGATATGTATATGCTTACAAAGAGAATGCACAGTCTCAGAATGAGATTTGTGCCCAGGGCATTTGACTGCTAACTAGAAGGCTGGCGGTTCAAACCTACCAGCCACTCCTCGGAAGGAAGGTTGGGCAATCTGCTTCTGTAGTGATACCGCCTAGGAAACCCAAGGAGGGGTTGCTATGAGTTGGATCTGACTCGACAGTAGTGAGAGTTAAATTGAATAAACTTAATAGAGTGAACCCTATGAGAGCTGGAACTTGACAGAACTGCCTTGTTTTTCTGGGTCTTGCAAGTTTCCCATCATTGATGGGTGCAGTTTTGCCACTTTTCTAATAATTGATTTTAGTGGAAAATACTTGAGTTTTCCTTTTCTGGCAGGTTTTTGCCTTACACAGGTTCTAGCTTTCCTAGGAAACCTACAAAAAGTTGGAACTTGTGTAAGACAGAAACTTGTCAAAAAAGGAACAAATATTTTCCACTAATAGAGAGAGGTAGGAAAGTGGTTAGACTGCACCCTGTCAAATGTGAAATGTTTGCAAAACTTGGAAAAACAAAGTCTCTTTGAGTTCTGGCTCTCACCAGTTTCAGTTAATACAAAAATTTCACTATACTGTGATTATTATACTTACTTTATGACTACCTGATGATTTAGATAATGCATCTTCCACCTCCCTCCTGAGTTTTATAGTCCATATTGAGGAAGCTGCGCAACTGGTAAATTCACATAAAGTCAGGGAGGGCAACTAGAGTCAAGTAACTACAGTCATTTGACCACACATCTTGGCTTTCCTAAGCAACGATTGGCCTAACTCACAGGGATCCTGTACACTAAATAAAAGCAGAAACACACAAACAGCAGTGAAATGGATGGTTCCCATTTGTGAATATCTGGGTGCCAATTAGTAATATTAGGGGTTGGAGTATTTTGTTTTATGTCTGAAAAAAATTCAATTACTTTTTGTTCCATTCTTTTAAAAATTGTTGTTGGAGCCCATCGAGTCATTTCTAACTCCTAGCAACCTTACATACAACATAACAAAATACTTGCCATCTATTAAGTCCTGTACCATCTTCACTATTGTTGCTATGTTTGAACTCATTGTTGAAGGCACTATGTCAGTACATCTTGTTGAGGATTGTCCTCTTTTTCATTGACTCTCAACGTTATGAAGCATTATGTCCTTTTCCAGGGACTGGTCTTCTCTGATAACATGTCCGAAATACATGAGACAGGGTCTTGCCATCCTCATTTTTGACTGTACTTTTCCAAGACATACTTGTTTGTTCTCTTGCAGTTTGTGGTATATTCGGTATTCTTCACCAGCACCATAATTCAAAAGTAGATGATGATAATTGTATAATAACAATGCCACCAGTGATTAAAGTATGAAAATGGCAGTGTTTATTAATATTCATGTTTTTAGTAACATACCTTGTATTTTTATGGTCATATTTCTTGTTACCAGAAAACGAGGGCATAGATTATAGGTGACATGTATTTGAATTTCTTTCCATCTATGCTGCTTTTTCTAACCCACTTCTACATATTTCCCCTCTGGCTTTTTACTAGTTTCTGGTGTCTATAGTCTGGGTGACTTCTGCTCCTACTAATGTGTTCTCTCGCAGTTGTTGGCAGTTTTTCTTGCTTTTTGTTCTGACTTTATATCAACCATTACTTTTCCAAAGAAACTTGGGAGAAATTGGCAAGGCATGTGGCTTTTGGATATATAGATGATTCATATTTTAATCTGTGATTGATTTTGCACCTTTATGATTGTTATTTTAAACATTTGTTTGTGATAATACTGTCTATTATTTATTCTTATGTTTCAGGCAATATGCTAAAAGCTTTGCATTGTTTTAATTCAGTTCTTAAAGTAATCTTCTGTATTGTAGACATTTATTGCTAACTCCATTTTATAGATGTAGAAATTAAGATTTGAGGAAGTAAAGCCACCTGCTGGAGGTAACATGGCTACAAAATGGTGGAGCTGGGATTTTAATTGAGATTATCTGTGCAGTCTGATTACGTAACCAGATTTTGTTTCTGTTTATGAGTAAGCACTATGGAAGAAAGTATTTTTAAATCCATTATGAAGTCCTGAACATCTATTATAGGGTATACAGAGTGATTTGGCTAGTTGACTGGTACATAATAGAAATCGTTCTAAATACAGTTCAAAACTAAAACCAACTACAGAGTTTTCTGGAGTTTATATATCTTAGGTAACGTGCTGCTCTTTCCACTAGATCTTCCGAAAAGCGAAAGCAGTGGCTCCTTCAATTCTATTCTTCGATGAACTTGATGCCTTAGCAGTTGAAAGAGGCAGGTAAGCATTCTATATAGAGTAGATAGCATTTTTTATTTTTTATTATTGTGTTTTGGGTGAAGATATACAGAGCAAACTCACTTTCCATACAGCAGTTCACATATACTTTGTCTCATGTCATTGACCACAGTTTACCACAATGTAACAGCTCCCCTCCCACTTCTGCATAGTTACCTCTTCCCAGTGTCCATCCCTCCATACACTGCTGCTCCCTGAGCTGTCTCCATGTGTGTAAGCAGCCCTTGTTCCTCCCATGATTGTTCTCTCCAA